GCGAGCGCTCTACCACTTGAGCCACAGCGCCACTTCCAGCTTTTTCTGTGTCTGTGGTGCTGAGGAATCGAACCCAGGGCCTCACTCTGCCCAGGCCTCCGGGCGCCACTGACCTTGGCTGGGTCAGCCCTGTGAGCCTCATGGCTGGGTCACCGCTGCCCACCACAGACACGGCTGGGGTGGTGGGAGTCGGGTCCACCCGGCACCCCGTGGACGAGCCCGAGAGTTCCCACAATGAGCTCAGGCATCAGCACCCCTGTGCCCTGAGCTCAGCGTGGAGCAGGGCTGGCTCGCACCCAGGAGCCCCCCACCAGCCCCCCCCCGTCCCCCATCCCCTGGCCCACTGTGGAGGCCTGGAGCGGGGTCCAGGGATGAGGTCAACCCAGGAAGCCCCCACCAGGGTGGTCAGAGCCAACTTTTCAGAGACAAGAGTCTCATGGACTTTCCTGCCCGGGCTGGCTTTGAACCGTGATCCTCAGATCTCAGCCTCCTGAGGAGCTGGGATGACGGGCATGAGCCATCCCAGGCTCCCGGGGCCAAAATTTGATTTAAAATGAAGAAAGGCTCTTCGGGGGTGGGGGCCTCTCGCCGAGGGCACCCCGAGCCCTGTGGTGGCCTCGTCCTGATGGACAACTGGGTAAGAAGCGGCTCCCATGGACCTCAGGCCAAGACCCGCCCGCGCTGATCCCAGATCACCAGGGGCCTGAAGAGCAACCTCACCCTTCAGAGCCAGCCGCCTAATCCACACGAGGGCAGGGCGGGGTGTCCCAGGCCGCCAGTCGGGTTATAATCTCCTACTGGCCTAGAAAGCCCTGGCTGGAGCAGCCCTGCCCTGAGCACAGAGGCCTCGGGGAGGCTGCCGTTCCATGCATGGCCACCGGGGGGCGCAGGAAGCAGCTGGGAGGCCCCGGCCCTCAGCCAGCCAGCCGCCTGGGAGAGGTGTCCTCTGACCCCTGTGCAGACACAGGTGGTCATCAGAGCTTGTCCCCAACAAACATGCTAGGAGGTGCCACAGGCAGAAGTTCAGGGGCCCCAGTTCCTTCTAGAAAGTCAGGGAAGCCGGGCGCTGGTGGCTCACGCCTGTAATCCTAGCTACTCAGGAGGCTGAGATCTGAGGATCGCGGTTCAGAGCCAGCCCGGGCAGGAGAGACTGTGAGACTCCTATCTCCAATAAACCACCAGAAAACCGGAAGTGGCGCTGTAGCTCAAGTGGTAGAGCGCTCGCCTTGAGCTGGAGAGCTGAGGGACAGCGCCCAGGCCCAGAGTTCAAGACCCACAACTGACCAAAAAAAAAAAAATAGGAAGTCAGGGAGAGGGTTCAAAACCAGCCAGGGATGCACAGCACAAATGCCGTAGATGGTGGTAATGGGGAGGGGGCTCGGGTCCGTGAGAGAGAAAAGGAGAGAGAAAGAGCAGAGAGGGGGAGGGAGGGAAAAATACTTGCAGAGACAGAGCATGGTGCTGGTAGCTCACCCTTGTAGTCCTAACTCCAAAAGAAATCAACAATCCAATTACCAAATGGGCAAGCCGGCGTCGGTGGCTCTGACCGGTCATCCCAGATCTGAGGATCCCGGTTCAACGCCAACCCAGCCAGGAAAGTCCGTGAGACTCATCTCCAATGAACTACTTTAAAAAAAAGCCCAAAGTAGAGCTGTGGCTCAGCGTGGTAGAGCGCTAACCTAGAGCAGAAAAGCTCAGGGACAGTGGCCCAGGCCCCGAGTTCAAGCCCCACTCGCCACAAATAAAGAGCCGTAATAAATGGACAAATGAACAGATAATTCTGTACAGGTGGCCAGGAAAATGGGGGTTGCAGGGAAAGGAAAGGGGGGTGTTGTACAATCTGTACTCGTGTGGATACCCAAGCAAACCCCTCAGTGCAGTTAACACACACTCACTCAAAAAGACAACATGTGGGAAGAGATCAGCCTAGGTTGGGAAAAAGACCAAATATTCCCACAGGGAAGACACAGCCAGCCGGACTAGACAGAGTTATCAAGGCAGGACAGGCGGGCCCAGCCCTACTGAGGACAATGCTCCCACTGGCTGATGGAGCCTAGAACAATGTCATTCAGTCAGGCTTAGGAGAAGCCTGTAATCCCGGCTCCTCAGGAGGCAGAGGTTGGGAGGACCCATCTCCACCTGCCAGCCAGGAGATGGTGGTACCTGCCTGAGATCCAGCTACAGGATGGCAGTCCGAAGCTTTTAGTCCAGGATAGATGACAGGCATTAAAACCTGCCAGGGCCTTTGCCCCCCCCCCCCAGAGTGAGGAGGATGAGAACAGTTAAGGGAGTTTCTGAGAACAGTACGGGGTGGGGGGACCCGAAGTCCTCTGAGGAGTCCATTTATTCTCCAGAGACGGGTTCCCTGGCCACTGGCGCCCCTGTGAAAACAGCACAGACAAGGACACAGCCCGGCCTGGCCCAGCCGCAGCGGCTCCCTGCTGAGCTCAAACAAGCGTAGGCTGGAGGTCCTGACCTGTGCCATTCGGCACACAGCCCGTCCCCGGTGCCACCCACAGAGGCTGGCAGGGCGACCAGCGTCATCCCGCACGCCTGGTCTCCTGGGAAGATTTGGGGCACAGCGGCGCTGGGGGCTCATGCCAGTCACCCCGGCTACCCGGGAGAGCAGAGAGGCTCACCGCTCAGAGCCAACCTGGGCATGAAGAGCCAAAGACTTCATTTCCAAGAAGCCACCAAGAAGCCGGAGTGGCGCTGGGGGCTCGTGATGGAAAGCTAGCCTTGAGCAAAAGCAGCTGGGGGGCGGCGCACAGGCCCCAAGTTCAAGCCCCAGGACCGGCACAAACTTAAAAAATGATCCCACCGGCTGTGTTAAAGCTTAGGAGTCTTGACCTCCAGGAGCCCACAGGTCTGATCCCTTACAGGGAGGGGGGACAGTACAAATGTTCTAGAACAAGTGGGATTGCTCTGGTCCTAGGGATAAGGGCAGTTGACAGGTCTATCACCAGGGAACCCACACTCATTGGAGATGGCCCCAATAGGAAAGACCAACAGACCCACCTCGAGGGACACAGAATGGTGGAGTTACTCGCATCAGGAGCGAGACTCCCAGCGGTCACGGGCAAACTCCCGGACTTCCCCCTCCTCCCTCCCACCTGCCAGGCTGGGCCGGAATGAAAGGTCTGTCCTCCTACACGCAGCCTCCCGTGTGACCCAACCCTTCCAGGTCATCAGGCAGGAAGCCCGAGTCCCCCAACCCCAGCAAGACTGGCCTGCGGCCGGAGGACATCAGGAAACCCTGGAGGACAATGACCATTAGGGTTCTGACCGAAAACATGCCCACCCCCTCCGGGGCACATGGATTACAGGCTTCATGGCCAGTGTTGAGTATGATTGACAGGCGCTGGAACCTCTGGTGGGCGGGGCCTAAGGGAAGGAAGTTAGGTCATTGGCGGTGTGATCTCGAAGGGGAGTTTGGGGACCCTGGCTCCCCGCTCTTTTTTTGCTTCCTGGACACAAGGTGAGCGAGTCGTCCTCCATCAACGTCCCTTTGTCACCATAGGCCCAAAGCCACGGAGCCAGAACCAACCTATCCTGTTGGCTGACTCAGGCAATTACGTGGATGCCAGAGCTGGGCGAGGCAGTGGCTCACGCCCGTCATCCCAGACTCCGGAGGCTGAGATCTGAGGATGGCGGTTCGAAGCCAGCCCCGGACAGCAAAGTCTTTGGGACTCTCATCTCCAATGGACTACCAGAAAACCAGAAGTGGCGCTGTGGCTCAAGCGGTAGAGCGCCCGCCTTAAGGAGCTCAGGGACAGCGCCCAGGCCCAGAGTTCAAGTACCATGACCACCACCACCAATAAAAACAGCTTCGTGGGTCTGTCCTGATCCCTGAAGCCTAGCTCCCCCACCGCATGGGTGTCCTGGCTATTTGCTCCCCTTTCTTCCCAGGCTTGTAATTATGGGGTGCGTGAGAAACTCCCAAGGGATCAGGGACCCCCCAAACAGGCCTGTGTTCTTCCCACGGTCTCGGCTCAGCAGCAGGTTTGGGGGGGTGGCCTCTCCCCTCCCCTCTCCTGCCCTGTCAGCATTCTCTGTACTTTCCTTCTTAGGAAGTTTCCATTTCCTGAGGTCGACCAGTAACTTCCTCTGGGAAGTGAGGTTGGGATGGTGCGGGGAGGGGGGGGGTGTCGGGGGTCCTTCACTACAAAGCTACTTACTCTCCAGAGGCCGGGGTCACCCCCAAAAGCTGGAGTCCCAGCATACAAGGTCACACCCAGCCTCCGTGCAGAGACTCAGGCCCCGGGCCTGCCCGGCTCAACGTGGCTGGCACACAACCTACACAGTGAAATGCCAGAAGGATCTACTTTACCGAGAGGTGAGAATTAAATGTGCCGCTGGCTCTCAAGTCACAAGTGCTGGAGAAGTTGGTTGTTTTCTGAGAAAAATTTCATTTTTTGGTCCACTAGGATCCTGTAATCAACCTGTGGGTGTGGGTCTGGATCCATTTGCATATAATTTGCATGTGATTTGCATGTGTCCGCCCTCTTTCTCAGGGCCTGGTGGGGGCGCATCTGCCTCTTTCTGTCGGCCTCCCCAGGCTCTGTTGTGGGGGCCGCCCGTGGCTCACAGCCCCGTGGGACGTGGCCGGCGAGGTGCGGGGCTAGTGTGGAGACGGGTTGTGGGCATCCTGGGTCCCCCGTGGGCTTTGGGGGCTGACGGATCTGGGAAGCTGGGGAGGGATGAGCGATCGGGTGTACCCCGAGTCTCCTCTCCCCATTTCTCAGTGGAGGGTGTGCAGTGCAGGAGAATTGAGGCTCTCGGAGGCTTCGGAGAGCGATCTGGGCCGCAGAGACACAGACAGACAGACCAACAGACCCTTGGGCTCCCAAGAGGAGCAAGAAAGCAAATGCACTTGATCTCAGGAGTCCTTGAGGCCGGGGCCAGGGGCACAGCAGCCACGCTGGCCAACCTCCCCGCACCCCCGGCCCCCGCCTGGACCCCAGGCCGAGCTGCCGGCGACTGGAAGACGGCTCCGAACCTGACGAGCAACCCTGCCAAGATGGCTCAGGGCTGAAGACCCCCGCAGTCACGGGCATGCACGCCCGCTGGCGGCGGCTGGAGCCGGGCGGGAGCCGGGACTTGGCATGGCCTGCGCCGCGTTGCTGGGGGCTGTGTTTGGCGTGGTGTGTGCTAGACTGTTCCTCCGGTGTCTGATGGTGCATGGGGTGGGGCAAGCCCGGGCTGGCCTGTCCCTTCCCCTGGGACACCTCACAGGGAGGGGACCCTGCAGGAGGGGGGGGACCCTGCAGGAGGGGGGGGACCCTGCAGGAGGGGGGGACCCTGCAGGAGGGGGGGGACCCTGCAGGAGGGGGGGGACCCTGCAGGAGGGGGGGACCCTGCAGGAGGGAGGGGACCCTGCAGGAGGGGGGGGACCCTGCAGGAGGGGGGGGACCCTGCAGGAGGGGGGGGACCCTGCAGGAGGGGGGGACCCTGCAGGAGGGGGGGACCCTGCAGGAGGGGGGGACCCTGCAGGAGGGGGGGGACCCTGCAGGAGGGGGGACCCTGCAGGAGGGGGGACCCTGCAGGAGGGGGGGACCCTGCAGGAGGGGGGGACCCTGCAGGAGGGAGGGGACCCTGCAGGAGGGAGGGGACCCTGCAGGAGGGAGGGGACCCTGC